TTATTGATACAATAATATTATGTAATATCAAAAGTACATTCTAAATGTACATATACTCTTTGCATAACAGATGTTCAAGTTAATCAATTTTTGTAAATTCTTATTCAGAAATGTTTTGAGATAGTCCCCTGACATGAGTCCGTGTTGACTAATCCGTTACAACTCTTCTAGGTAGCATAGAAAGCATGCACCCCAATATTTTTATGTTTTGATAGGGTGTACAATCACATGTATGGTTATACGGCGAAATTACCGGCTTATTGTCATTCAGCGGCTTACATTTCTTACATATGTCTCTTCCATATGGCAAATGCTAACAATAGGCGGCATTTGAGAGAATCAGAGTTACGGAGGGCTGTAGGGATGGTGCAGCAGTTTTCGATAGCAACTTCTCTTCGAAATGACCTTGCTCATGCTGCTGGGTCCGTGATTCCACGCAGATGGTACGTAGAAGGCTGCATGAAGGTAATTTGCGGTCGAGAAGACCTTGCATACGTATCCCCTTGACGCGACGACATCGCCAGGTCCGTTTGGAATGGACCATGGAGCATACACGGTGAACCATGCAACACTGGAGACACGCTCTTTTCACTGATGAGTCCAGGTTCTGCCTAGACTTCACGGATAGACGTGCTAGAGTATGGATAAGACGAGGTGAACGATTTCAGGCTGCAAATATTGCTAAGCATGACCGCTACGGAGGTGGGTCAGTTATGGTGAGGGGAGGAATCAACTGGGGTAGACGAACCGACCTGGTTGTGCTCTATACAGGCATATTGACAGGTCAGCGATGCATAGACGACATCTTAGCCAATCAGGTTAGGCTGCATGCTGGAGCAGTCGGCGATCAGTTCATTCTAATGGACGATAATGCTCGCCTCCATAGGGTCAGGGTGGTCTTGGACTACCTAGAGAGGGAGTCTATTGAGTGCAACGACTGGCCAGCTCGCTCACCTGACTTAAATCTAATAGAACACATGTGGAATGAGCTGCAGGTTAGAATTTGAGCTCGTCAGCTGCAACGCAGATCTATCAAGGATTTTCAAGCCATGTTGGTCAAAGAATGGGCAGTCAGAAACCTAATAGGGTGTATGAGAAAGAGCTGCCAAGCTGTCATTGAAAGTCACGGGTCGCACACATGGTATTAAGTCTAAAACTGTAAAAAAAACAAACCAAAAAAACAATATTTTTACAAATTTGAAAAAAACACGCTGTAGGTTCTGAAATCTTCAAAGAGAGGGTGTCATCCTCTTCTCAAGCACAAAATCAGCGTAAAACTCATTTATAGGGTTAAATTCGTCCTTCAGCTGAATTGATTAAACAGTAAATCAACATTTAAACCCTCTAGCACGGCGTTTATAAAATTATCCCAAAAATATTCACACTCAAACATATAGTGCTTAGCAAAAGTTGAGTAATATAGTTACGTTACCAAAATTTAATGCGTTATGATTCATTTGAAATACTGTAATCCTATTGAATTTAATTTAAAAATAATTTCAAACAATTATTCTAGTAACAAATTCATGTTGGATTTGAAAAAATAGTATCTTTGTATAAAGTTTGTCATATAAACGTCGTATAAAGACTATTAACGCGAAGAAGTACAAGTTTAGCGTCAATCGCGAAACACTCAGTACGCAGAGTATGATTATACATGTACACGTAGAATGTATTTGATTAATCTCAGATTTCTTTGTTATGTAAGTATAATGACAAAACTTACAAGTTCGACCTTCTGCAGCTTTTTCTGAGTACCGAACTGTCTAATTTTTCATAGACAATATTCAGGTTTGAGTTGGCTAAGAAATGAAGGTTCGTAAATAGCAAGACATATTGTTATGTTAAATTTACACTTCAAATCCGTTTTAAAGCTTTGTTTTACATGTTTGACTTATAACCATGATGGACGGGTTAACTTCATTTAGGCCCATGTGCGAACTGGTTCCTGACAGGTCTTTTATTCGTAAAGTTGTAATAAGAAAATACATTCATATTATATTTGCCTTTCGCATGACTGGCGTTTGTCTTTATAAAAGTTATTTTTGCCAGAAGTATTTTCATTTCACAAATCTCGTATGACAAATGAGAGATCGCATTGTATCCGGCAATAATTCACCAGAAAGTCTCTGATCACTAATCCCTTTGAAGACATTATAATTAGGAATGTTGGACAAATTTCTGTAGTTACAACACCGTATTCTTGCATAAAGATTGTGCGCAAATGTGTACAATTCAAGAGAAAACATGCAGTAACGGATAAAATTAAGTGAGCACACACCGTTGCTACACGTTTTTAAGATGCTCGACTCAAAATGTCATGTAAAAATATCTGACCGCAACGACCTCGGTTATTTCAAAATCAAAACGCAATTTTGCAAAAGTATTTCAAACCGTTTTTTCAATGCGGAATTACCTAACAAACATAAATTTACCTTAATGCAAGAAAAGCACTGACTTGTGCTTTACATGCACCCTATGTTAATTTCACATAAATATAATGGCTTGTAAGTGTTTCCATTACCAAAAGACTAAATTTGGCCCATACGGAGACCAAGCGAGTTCAAATAAATGACAAACTTTAGCGTTCATTTGTGTAAGGCTGAAATATTTTATTTCTTTATAATAAAACATCTGCGGCCATTAGTGCTTTTACATATCTTATAATACTTATCAAGGGGCCTGATTATCCAGTGAATAAACAGAGGATATTTGTTTGTTTGTGTGTAAGATGAAATTTTATTTCATCGAGTGGGCTTTAAAAACAGTATTCTCACGAGTGGCGTAGCCACGAGTGAGAATACTGTTTTTAAAGTTCACGAGATGAAATAAAATTACATCTTACACAACAAACAGACAAATTTTCTTTTTATTTTATGCTTAAAAACAAGTTAAAACGAAATTTCCATAATTTTAACGTTGATATTAAAATCTGTTTCCCCCATTGAGAGCCCCATTTAGAGGGAAATTCTCATTAAAAACAAGAAGTCTTGAGCTGAAAAATGAGTCCGCCAATGGAGGTTAAATGAATGTGATATTTATTCATTTTATTAAAAAATATGAATGATCGCTTGTTTTAATAATAAAAACAAACAATTCTTGTAGGAGAAAAAGTCCAACCATCCATCCATATTTCTGTTACTTACTGCGAATTTATATTAGACCTGGCTTTGTAAAATGTAAACGGCAGCCATTTTTTAAAGTCGTGTATTTCATGGGAGGAAAATAATTGTGTAAGATACAGAAGGATATAATTTGGATTTGTTAGTCATACACCTTTTTAAAAGAAAGAAAACTTATTTGAGGATTGTAACAGACAAAAAATAAGTGTTGACAGAAGTGAAAACATTCAGAAAAGGAGCTAGGAAAATGGAAAACTTGGAAGCTTGCTAAGGCATTGTAAGGAACGCTGGGTTGATTTACTTATTTTTACGAGTGATAGCTGTCAATGCTTTTCAATTTTTCATAAAGCATACGGCAGTTATTGCTCGTAGGATACTTAAATATGCCCAAATGTCATCAAGAGCAGTTTTGCATGGGGAAGGAATGTATTTTTCAGACTGTAAAAACGAAACAAAAAAATTTAGAGACGAAATTTTGTGATTGGAATTTGAAGGAATAGAAGTAAGTTTTCTCTCTTTATTTTACTTTTGACAATTATGTTATTTATCTATTTCAGCTTTGCTATTTTTTTAACAGCCTGATATTGTCAGAATTGTCAGTAAAAATAGAATTGAGGTACCACATGGGGAAAATCTTAAAAAAGTAGTTTCGTCATTGAAAAAAGTGAAATTATATTTTGATAATTTTCACTGTGAAATTATCAAATATAATTTTCACGGATAAATCAGTAATCCACTGAAAAGCATAAAATAAATAACAATTTCCAATTGCTCTTCCAACTTTTTAAATTTGGTTCTTGTATTTTTTGGTTGTTTTTTGGGGGTAAAATTTTTACAGCAGAAGCAAAAAGTTGATAACGTTAATTGAAAAATTTTTTAAACTTAAAAAAAAACAACATTAATTACATAATAAAATTATATGTTAAAAGGGATTTTTTAAAATAGAAAAGCATCAAATACGAGCTATCGATTTGTACAGGGGCAGCCCTCAGATAAAAAGTTACGATTTTTTTGATTCTTTCTTTTTTATATAATCAAAATAAAAAACCCCCGCAAAAAACCCCCAAAAAAGAACAAACAACTCTGAATATGATTTTTCTTCCCCTTCCCTTTCTTCCCGTCAAAATTTGAAAACCCCCAGCAAAAATACCAAAAGGGAGAGGATGGGAAAATCCCTGCACTCCAAGTTAAACGCACTGTGCATGTATATGTATACGATTTAACTCTGACACATTTTCAACAGAAAGGTCCCCAAACTATGATACAATTTATGTTTAGGATTGCATATGATATGTCTCAAGTTTATTCATCAGAGGCTATCAATACACTACACTTTAGATAACCTTTATATGTAAATATTCTTTATCATTTTGTAAATATAAGAAGGTAATATGATACAAGTTGTACTATGCTATACTTTGTTAATGCGTTTTTAAATAATACCAAACTGCGTCAGATTTGAATGGATTAAAACATCAATCATATTTAAAACAAGAAGTAAGTTCGCTGACAGAATTTTACATGTATTCATTATATATAAATTGATGTTGCTGTTGTTTTTTTACCACATAATTATACATATTTGTCAGTATTGCAAAAAAAATGTAATAAAATACAGATACTTTTTATGGTAACATAAATCTCCAGATGGAAATTGCAGGCTATGAGCTAGATTTTGAATATACGAAAAAAGCAATCGGGCGTTCCAAACGAATGCCCAATTAAGCATGTACATATGAGGAGCGGGGCGTAACTGGCGCGGCAATCCGCAATAAAGACGCGAATGCTGCAATTAGTCGAACGTGAAACCATGAAACGACATATATGTATATAGAAGATATAAGCTTTTAATATAAATTCACACCAGTCAGAGGAGTAAAAGAGTTTTTCAAATTAGTTTATTACATATTCTGATTATTTGACCATTTTCTTTTTATTTCAATAAAAACATGAACTGTTTCAAATATTAAACAATTTACCTGATCCGAAAAGTTCATCTTTTTATAGCTTAAACAACACTCATAGAAAAATGGCAAATGATTACTTGATCCACAAATGGAGGTTATGGTTTGGAATTTTTGATGTTGACAAGACCGGACAATTTTCTCGTGCCACCGAAGCAAATCATGAGTATAACAGATATTTTTCTTTTTATGTTTTGTTTTTCTCCAAATTCATTTTGTATTAAGTATAGATGGTTAAAAACTTAAATAAAAAATAGCCCAGTTCCTTTGTAAGTTATAAATAGTTTGGACAATTTATAGACCGTAGGTATTTACCACTGGTTCCCATCCAGTTATGGCGGATGACTGAATCCTCCATCACTAGATCAGTGCATACATATGTGATGACTATATTAACGTTTTTTTTCTTCTAATTTCATGTAGCATGTTATGGTTATTTGTACACCCGTGTGCTATTTCTTACCCAATGCTTCATATTATACAAGAATTGGGTGATGACGAGGTGAAAAAAGGGACTTTTGTAAAACCTTACGTATTTATATTTTCTCTTTTGTACTAATATACTTGTAGGCATACAAAATGAAAAAAAAAAGATTTGTTTTCTGAAATGGTGTAATTACTATGATTTGACGGCATAAATCATGGTCATTTTTTTCCTCTTTCAGGGAAGGATTTGCAAATCTTAATAACTTGAGTGTGGAACGTAAGAAAGAAGTTATAGCAGCCTCCAAACAAATGATGGAAGAGCATTATTTTCGTGGAGAAACAGGAGCCTTGACTGAACAAACTTTTGTAGATATGAATAATAGTGAGTATAAAGAAGATAAAAACAAGTTCATTGAACGAATGAGGAAATTATGGAACACTGATTGTGACATTATGGATTTGTATCAAGAGGGTTAGATTATGCAGGATGTTTTTGTGAACGCGTTCCAGGCTGCAGGTCATGCCAATGTCGAAAAGGCGGCTAAATTGTTCCAGTCATTTGGCCCGAAAGATCAGAAGATTCCAGTACCGGTTCTCGTTGATGCTTTGGTTCATTTTACAACAAGCGAGGACAGCTCGAAACCCGATTTATTTAGAGAATATTTGGAAGGCGGACTTTAAATCAGTATTTCACTTTTAATTAAACAAGCCGAATGAATTCTATATGGAAATCCTTATGGAATTTAATTGTTTCCTCTAAATACTTTGAATTTCTTTTTGTTTTATCTTAATTGTTTGAAATCTTATTGTTCCTTCGGTTACATATTGAATTGTAGTAAATACTGAAAATATTCATTTATTGTACACTCAAGTAAAAGCATTTCGCATTTCTTTGTTAGCTTATTACCTTATGTAAAACATATAAACTCAACAAAGTAAAGAACAAAGGCATTGTCATTTGTTTAAATGGATGATATTCTAACTCCAAATATAATAGAATACAATGATAGTCTAAGCATTTACTATTAAAGTTGATTACATTTTCATATACCTGCTGTTATTTATCATACATTGTATTATCTTAATAAAGTGGTTGTTTAATATATATGATGTTTATTGTGTTTTGTGATGTAGGTAGGTAGGTAGGTAGGTAGGTAGCTAGATATATAGATAGATAGATTCAGTACAGTGTCATGTCATTTCACTTACATTTGTATAGCACAATCAAACACAATACCATGGTACATGAACAAAAGTTGTAGCACAAATTTTCAATTTACATATTTCTGGAGAATGAACATTAACACCATTTGGTACTAAAGTGAACTTAGCTATTATAAATCGTTTCCATTCTTAAAGATATATAAGAGGATTTATACTTAATCATATGCTGCGATTATATTACATTTAAACAATGTTTCAATAATAGACACATTATCAAGTAATTTCAAGAAATAAACAATGTCACTTTAAATACAACGAGACAAATTTATATATTGATTTACAGAGCATTTAGTAGTTCAATTCGATGTTTTGAAGCATAATGCAAATATTTACCTAAACCTATTAATTCAGACTTCTTTTCAGTACTTAGTAATTCAATCAATAAAAATATACAACGTGATTTGTCTTTTAATAAAAGTCAATGTAATTCTTAGACGGCAATAAAAAAACAACTATTTATACAGTCGAAGGAACGATTAATAAGCCGTTGACCTCCTTAGTCGTTTACCTACTTTTGATGGGCACGGATTGCGTTTATCCACGATAGCACCTGCTTATCAAGAATAAAGTCATCAAAATAAAAAGCCATGTATTATGCATAGATCCCTAACATGTCAAAGTTTAAAGTTCAATTTTCAATACAATACACTCTCTTTATTCCTCTCAAGACATGCACAATAAAAAACATATAACACGAGGAACCTAAATAAAAAAAACATCCACAATAAAATTTTACCTCAAAAATATTTTTATACCAAAAAAAAGAATGTCAGTTTTGTGGGGTTTAAGACTTTTTAATAACAGGGCAAGGGGAGGGGTTATCAAATTTTTTTCTATTTCTTTCGACGGGGCATCCAATACAAAATCTGGAATGCTTGTTTTTTAAATGATTATTTCATTTATTAAAGGGGGGTTTTCCCCCCGACTGTTTTTCTTTTGTAATTATTTGATATAAAGTAAACAAAATTTTGATCATTTCTAGGGAAAACTTTATGCAAATAAATCTTTTATAGCAATACTTCATGGAGGATTGGAGGCATTCCGATACGTGAATAAATTGTAAGCATTATACAATTTCTCAGTCATAGAGTTTCTGGTATTTCGTGTCGTTGCGTCTTCGACCCGATTGAGAAGGCATGCATGATGAATTAACCAATAATTGTGTCTTTGCCTGGCATACAACAAATATAGGGCGCCGATAGGAATATTTCTAACCGCTGACACGATGTAATTTTGCAGACGAAAATCTCGTATTTAATGATCTTAAAATATCGTTATTTTGCATAAAATATATATTGTGTCCTTTTTGTCGGCTCCCTCAAAAGTCAAAGGCGAAACAGGATAAGTAAGTATATTATCCTGTCTTCATGTCTCTGCCTTCGTTTTTTTAGGGGCGACAACACGAAGGCATAAAATGGCAGAAATCAGCCACCATAATGAACGTACGGTGGCGCAAAGGTGACATGTGTGTGTTTTTATTTATCTCGTGCGCATGAGATACTATGTCGTGGCCACGAGTTACGGAGTCGTGACCACGAGATAGTTAAGTCGTGGGAACGAGATTCTATGTCGTGGCCACGAGTTACAAAGTCGTGGCCACGAGATAGTTAAGTCACATACCCAAAATAAAGGTTGTTAAAAGTGCAAAAGAATCTTTTTTTCTTTGACGCACCTACAGAGTGACGCTAACATTTACATGTCTATATAAAGCAAATGGCGTCAAGTGTAAATATATGCACGGCCGTGCAAACCATTTTTACGGAATCGCACGGGTATGTGACAAATAGAGGATAGTAAATTAGTGTATGTTTAATACTAACTTTTTAACGAGTTTGAGTAAAACTAATTTTATTATTCCCTCTAGTGTATTTTTTTTAATTTATTGACCCAAAACTAAACACACGAATAACGAGTGTTTTCTATATGCATAAATTCGTGTGTGTACGTATATATCTTAATAATTTTATATTTCTATCAATTTCTAAAATAATTCTCAAATTTTATTTAAAAAACGTAAATATAGAAATAATAAACAGTTAAAATGTTTAAAATATTTTCAGTTTCAAATCAATCTGTCAAGCAAGGTCAAAATTTACTACCCCAACTATATAATAAAATGTATAAAATTGACCCGCCGGTCACGACAAAACCCAACATAGGGCGTTTGGGCGAACCAGGCATGGATACAGACCAGCCTTGTTGCATGGAGCAGAGCTTTGTCAGGATCCCATCTGTTCGCTATCAGTTTCTCTACTTGTAATAGGGTTGGGTAGCAAACAGCATGGATCCTGATCAGACTGCGCGGATGCGCAGGCTGGTCTGGATCCATGCTGCATGGTCGCAAACGCACAATGTTGGTTTTGTCGTGACGCGGCTTATATGTTTTTCCAATTTACATTTTTTTATATAATTATTATATATTTGAAGTGTCTCCAATTGTTCATAAAACTGCCAAAAATTGTGATATTTCAGTTGGTATGTGCGCGATTCAGGATCCAAAATGTATAGCCGATAATTATTTTTTTTTTAAAAATGATGATTTGTATTCTATTTATTTCCTTGACTGCTATTGTAGTTGTAGGTATTTCGGTCTAATAAAATAACTAACACATGACTGTTGGGGTGATAGGAGTATATTGCCAACCCTTGAACTAGCATTTTACCCGACCTAACATCCTCATACTCTAATAAAGTTTGTACTTGAATTTTTTATTTTTCCCTCTTTGCTTCTGGCATTACTCCTTTATTTAGAAATTTTCATATTACGTTTTGTTCATTTCCAATACCATACCGAATCCTAATCCAGGCAAGGTTTATACGGGATTTATATTCAATGCATGATTAAATAGGAACACAATTGGAGGATTTATCTTCTTGCATATTTATTCAGCCAGTCATCAATCATTTACGTGCGGAAGAGCTCGAGATTGAAGAGCAATTTACAAAAATATGATAAAAATCTCAAGGGAAAACAGAACATCTGATATCTGCATACCGTTGAAACATCTAACCTGTTAAATTTCCGAGATTTTTATAGTTTATTTCAAAATAACGTTTAAATTGATAATGCCCGTTTGTATGTTTTACATAAACATGAATTTGAATATTTCATTCAGCATTAACCTTCCTGTACTAAAGCAACTCTCTTTTAAAAACCTCCACTTTTAAAAAAAAAAATCCCAACTATAAAATGCTTTTGAAGTATGAAATTAAAAAGGGCCAACCAAAAAAGGGAAATAAATAATTATCAACGCCATGCCCCAACTTAAAAAAGGTGGTAAGCAAAAACCATAAAGTTAACGAAAAAAGCACGACATTTTTACTTTTTCCCAAAATTAACCCAATGGGGCAGGGGAAACAGAAAAAATCAAAAATAATGATAAAACTTATAATTCAGTTTTTTTATCTTTTTTAACTCATGTCAAAGGGGTTTTTCGGGAATTTTTAAAGTTTTGAAAATTTGAGTACCATTCAACCTGCATGGGGCATATTTTCCATTTTTTCACTACCCTTTCATCAAACCGAGTAAACCTTTTTAAATGTAATTTTAAAATTTTTTAGCTTCAAAAAAGATTTTTATAAATTTAAAAAGGGTTTTTGAAACGCTGTATGGGCGAATGGGATTTAAAACCAACATATTAACCCCATTATTATGAAAAATTTTAACATACGGGAAAAACTTTAACCAGTGTTTAAAATACAAATTACAGTACCTGTAAACACCCCATTTTCAGGGATATAGAAAGCACAAGGAAACGATTTCAAACTTGGGGGTTTTATTTTATCAATGCATGATCTATTTTTAGAAAAATGAAATCATTCGAACTGTGAAAAAATTTAAATTTTCATTAAAAGGGTTTATACTTTTTGGTTTCTTTATCAACAAAAATTTTTAAAATCCCCAGTAATGAGATTTAAATATTCTGTTTCTTTTTGTTTTAAATATGATAACAAATAAAATTTTTGTTTAAAAATTTATTTTTTTTTATCCATAAAATTGGGCCCAAAGGGAAAGGGTTTAATTCCTTTTTTTCACACTTCCCCTATTAAAGCATTTTATTTTTGGGGAAAGATATGCGTGAGCGAGGAAACACAAAAAAAGTACCTTACTTTTGAAAAAGGCCAAAATTTTCACATTTCTGGGCCAAACGAATTTTTTTAATACACGGGGAGTTAAAATTTAAAATTTTTAGTACCCTTTATAAATCTCCCCGGGTATTTAAAAACATATTATTGGGTAATTTCGGGTTAAAAATTATTTTTTCCCAATTTTTGGGTTTAAATGAAAATAAAAAAAAGATAATTATAACAGTTAAAAAAATAAAAATCTTATTTTTATTTAAATTAAATTGTTTAAAAATTGGGGACGTTTTTTAAATTCAAAGGTAAAGGGTTAAAATAAGTTTTCCCCCAGATTTGACATAAAAAAGGGCATTATGCAAAAAATACGGCCTTTATAAGAAAACTCGGCTATTATGAGATTGGAAATTTAGGTTGGCTCTCCAGCACAGACATTATAAATCTGTTGTTGTTTTCATTTAAAAAATCCTCATTTTGAATTGCTTCAATATAGGTTTCCGATATATTTTGTGCCATATCACAACAACAGATTTCACATTTATATAAGTTATTTTTGTTCACTTAGTACTTAACATTTTTAGATTATGTGTAGACTAGTTCATTAATAAAATTGTCAATCATTAAGTGTTTTCATAATGGCCTCAATATTGGACTTTAGACTGTAATATTAGCCTTTGGTCTTAGGCTAATATGACAGTCTTCAGTCAACATTAATGTTTCAAAAACGAAAAAAGTTTATTAATTTCATCACATAAGTGGCATGCTAGATTTCCTGTCACTTCAAGTCTTTAAATGATAGAAGATATCACCAAGGGCGACAAATCTTTAGACCTTATTTCAATTACGCACATGGTGGCCGCATGGTACTTGTGACGTCATTATAAATTTCGTCATAGCGTAGCCAAAAGCTAAAAACGGGGTTCTTTTTCGTTTTGACATAGAAGAGAAAGGTGGGAGAAAAATATTTTATTTCCCACCCTCCCAACCCAAATTAGAAATCTATATGCAATTTTATAAACAAACTTCTCGCTGCCTCTAATTTTATTTTTCAAACATTTGCTGCACAAGTCAACTACGTTTAAATATAATTATGTGCATGTTGGAACTTGCATCAACATTGTCAAGTGGCATGCTAGTTATTCATTTATGTTATTTCGTTTTAGGCCTTTGTTTAATGAACAAACCTAATGTAAGTTAACATCCTGCTTCTTTTTTATCGTTTTAATTTTTAATATTTCAGATCAAAATGGCAAGTGAATTTTTAAAAAAAAAAAGGAAAATTTTGGTTTTCCAACTCGGGCTGAAGGGGACAGGGGGAATTTTTTAAAAGGGTGATAAACATATGGGCCAGTTAAAATTATTTTTTTAATCTACTTTTTTTGGTTTTTTTGTTTTTTTATTTATTTAAAAATATTTTTCAAAATCCACCAACGGGTTTTTTAAAATCATTTTTACACTTTTTGGGGTTAAAGATGGATGAAGACTCCAAATGCCCCTTCCCCCGCATTAAAAATATAGGGTTTAACATTTTTTCAACATAAATAAATTGAAAGAAAAAAACTAAAATTAACTACTTTGTTTTTTTTTCTTTCAAAGCTCAAAAAAAAGGAAAGGGAAAAGCTTTTAGCAATTTCCAAATTTTGCATAAAATATTTTTCACGCTAGTTGTATTTTAGTACATTGCATTAATTTGCATTGAAACTGACATTATGAAAAACTAAAAATATCTAAGTTGCATTTGCAGACTTGTAAATAAACTTATAACATATACATTTTTGTGTCATGTGCTTTAGAATGTCTTGTAAAAAGTTTATATATTTTAGTAAAAAGTTTATATATTTTGAAATTTATTTACGTTATTTTTAATTTATTAGGGAGAGGTATACAGGTCTAATACAAACGGACCCTGCTCGTAAGGCAAAAGTGATCAAAGAGCTGCAGGAACTAACAGACGAATACTACTTTGGAGGGAAACAAGACTCAATAACGCAACAAGAGTTTGTGGATATGCAAAACGAATACTATAAAGCCGGCAAAGATTCCTTCATCGAACGCATGAAAAACTGCTTCAAAAAAGAAATCGGTATCTTCGACATCAATGGGGACGGGATGATGACAAGGGATTCATTTGTGAAAGCATCCATGGGTACTGGTCAAGATAATACTGACCTTCTCAACAAGTTCTTCCAATCTCTCAATCCAAATGCTGATGAGAAGGTTCCATGTAAAGTATTGATAGATGCGTGGGTGTTCTTTACCACAAATGAAGATGAAAGTGTGAAAGATGTTATCAAAGAGTCATTGGAGGAACGTCTGTAGGGCATTTGTCAGTGCTAAAAGAGAGTAATAACGCTGTCGATGATGTACATTGCTTACATGTGCTTTATGTTCCTCAAGTACAGCTTCATATATATACATTTGTATAGCTTAGTCTGTCAATTTAAGAAATAAAATCGGACGATAGTTTCTCAAATATCTGTGTATTTAATAGAATATATGTTTTATGAAAACAATAATCTGTATAAGTTATTGAAGTTGTTCTCTGAGTCGAAGATGTATTTTAAACTTAACTAATAAAATGTAAAACTGATGTATACACACATGTATAACCTACGTAATGCAAGGCGCATAGACAGTGTAAACCTTGGACATTTATATTAATAGTTGTGTCAGCATCAAATCGCAACATGATATTTCTACAGTTTAAGTTTTAAACAGACCACCAAAGGCATGATTATCAACAAAATAAATATAATTTTTGTAATGGTACATATTATTTAAGAGAAATAAACGTGAATTGATTTTAATTGCAATATGTTTTACACTTTCCCCTCTGGACAGTCGTGTATTATTACATGATTTAAACACAGCATACAAAAAGGGTGATTACTCATCAAAGTATTTCAAACTGACGTCATCGAACCAAATAACGTCATGAAAATTATAAATAACTTCCTCGTCAAATAATATTCTTCAACGTACAGACGGCATCGTACTTGCGTCCACCTTTATTTAACGACTTTTTTTTATTAAGCGGCCACATAAAATCCCTCCCGATGATTTTTACTATATAAGTTAATTCTATTAAACGACGATTTTGTATCGCGGCCAGCGGTCACTAAATGTCGGCCAAAATGTACAAAATTCTGTGTTAAAGTATCTATTAAACGGCCGTGACGAACAATCGTCCCTACGGACATTCTCACCTGTGTAATTAGCGAGTAAGTTTGAACAAACAAATATTTTTCATGGCATTGGTCTTAAAGTATCTATTAAACGGCCTTCAATTATACCGTCACAAATAATTGTCGTTTAAAAACGAATTGAATATCAATTGCAATCGTTTCAAAATCGGAAAGAAAGAAACAGTTTTCCGATAGTAATATTTATTGTGACATATTTTGTCAGAGCAATAACGTATCACAACACCGCATTGGCATAGTTTTGTCATGTGCTCAGAGTGACCTCCCTTCAAAAAAATAGTCGGAACGAGCGAAAAATGACAGACAACTAATAATACCGCATAAATTGAATGAGGAAATCGTGCATGGAATTGAGTCTGAGTAAATAGCATATGCCATCGTTTGTAGTGAAACGTAGTGGACTAAACATTACAGAACTGAGCCTTTCATTGCTGATGGTGTAGGTGCTCATCTGATGCTTTATAATAATACATGTAGTACCCAAAAAATTTGACCCTTTGACAAAAAAAATTAATAGAATAAAATAAAAAGTAATGATAATCTAAAATTTCTAAAACTTTAATATTTTGAAATCGGGGTAGTGTGAAAACTAATTGCTGAAAAAATCAAGAATTTAAAAACTCATTGCAATGATTTGAAAGTGTGTTCAGCAGGAGATGTGTATGAACATATTAATAATATATGACAATATGCTTTGTTTCAATGTCAAAATGACCTGTTGATAGTATTATGAGCGTAGATCACATTTGTACATAAATTTCTACTAAAAAAACCCAAACACATATTGATGACTTTTTTAAACGAAAGGCATAAATGTTATTATGAAACTGTAATACATATATAGTATTGTACAATTTTTGTTTTTATAAAAAGATGTTATTATATCTATAACTTGTAATGTAAAAATGTCTCGAATTTTCCAGAATTCTATTGACTACTTTAAGAGACCACTTTTTGGCAGTCCCTTGAGTGGTCTCTTAATACAATGTTGACTGTATTTAATTATATGAAAACTTTCATTTTTCTTACACTGTCGTACACTTATGCGTAGTTTCAATCATTTAAATACTTCTTTTTTTACATAGACCAACCTAACTTCGACCTTCGAAGAAAAATAACTTCGCATTTACGCTCAAACCTGCATTATTCTACATTCTAACACTCTTCACACTAGTTCCCTATCTTACCGGTAGGGCCATCAAGTTTATCATTACACAATATACGGTATGCATAGTATGAACAAAGCACTTAAATATTGATAAATGCTAAGACGTAAACTATAAGTTGCCTTTAACATAGGCTAAAAGCACTATATGAACAAATATAAAAGGTTGGTATCAAATGTCCTTGCTTTTTATCTTTTGTAAATATCGTAGTCTAAGAATTATTGTTTTCTAAGGTTGCCACTGGTCGTTCATGATTTATAGTCCCAATTTTCAACAACAATAATATCAAAATTTAAAAAAAGTGATTTTTATATTACTTTGTGTTACATTGTACCGTGCATAACTCTACAACAATGCACTTAAATTTTATATCTGTTTCCTTAACAAAACACACAAAAATGATACCTTTTTCCTAATACTTAATAAACATAATCTTAAATCACTATATAAAATAAAAGTAAAATAAAAGATTTTTAGGTTGTTATCAAATGTCCTTGCTTTTTATCTTATGTAAAATATCATAAGAATTATTGTTTTTGCAATATTGACACTGGTCGTCCAAGATGTAAAGTGCCGAATATCTACAATAATATCAGGAATTAAAAGAAAGTGATTTCTTATATTACGTACTGTGCATTATTCTACAATATTGCGCTAAAATTTATATATGTTTCCTTAACAAAACGCACAAAATTGATATTTTTGTAGGACTTAAACTATTAATTGCTTTAAACATAATCTTAATGCACTATATGAATGAATGTAAAATAAAAGCTTTTCAGTTTGTAATCAAATGTCCTTGCTTTTTATCTTTTGGAAAATATATTCTTTGAATTATAATTGTTTGCAATGTTGCCACTGGTCGTCCATGATTTAGAGTCCCGTATTTCAACAATAATAAAGGAATTTAAAGAAAGTGATTTCTAATATTACTTTGAGATACATAAGACTGGTTTACAAAGCGATTCATGACATGATACTTTAAGGCATTCAATGTAATAAAAGTCGAATTTTAAAGTATAAAATCAGCATAAAGTACCTGTCACATGATTTGCCGCTAGTTTATAAACATGTCATGGTTAAGAACTTTGTGATCATTCTTGATATGTTTCATTATAAAACTGTGTACGTAAGAAGACACGATGTGATAAGTATGGATGCGTTGCAGAAAAAAGAGCAGACATCAAGTGAAATATTAGGTTTTTATCATTTATATAAGAATGTTGGATAATATGAAACGCTTCTGCCCATAATTATTATCAATCTTAATATAGGATCTATACTATTTTGTCAGAGCATAGACGGAAGCTGGTTTGTTTAATTCTACGTTATAATATTCATTTGTATAGACTTATAAGTGTAAACGTTGTGGCCGTATGGTCCAACTTATATGCTGGTTGATCTGTGTCATTCGTGTTTTCGCCCCGCGACCAGTCAAAACAAAAAAGTCGAGAAATAACAATTTTTAAACTTATTCTTGCTGCTTGTTTTCCTTTGCTTTTTGGCATTACACATTTATTCATTTGTTTCTCTCTCCTTTTTTCTTTTTTATTTCCAGTACCTCAATGAACGCTAAATCAGGCAGGGTTTTTTGCGGGATATTTATTCTATGAATAATTCAATAGAAAAGATTAAGAGGATTTGTCTATGTATTATGTGAATGTTTATTTAGCTTGTCTTTCCCATTTACATAACGGCAGATTTATCAGCAATTTAAGAAATCAGATGAGTGTTCGCAAAGGAAAACAAATTCACTTCACTCTGTTTATGTTTTAAACATCTTATCTGAGATGCTGCATTCTCGCGATTTTTGTTGATAAGATATTTTTTTATTTATGCATGACTGTTAAAAATAACATTGAAATTGATAGTGATCATTATAATGAATTGCCTTCATGAAAAGATATAATATGCATGCATTTTCGAAGGCTAAGCTTCCCTGTACCTGTAGTAGAGCTACGAGAACAGTCAAATCTGAATGCATTGAAGTATGATATAAAGAACGGGTAAAAAAACTGGTTATAACATTCGTTGACTTATCTTACTTCGAAAGTCTAACGGAATAATCGGTAAAAATTGTGTGAAAAAATGAAATGATAAAAAATTCAAATATATTGATGCCAGTTTAATAATTCACAGATGCATGCAGAATGAGAAACATATGATAATGAACTTGATTTTAATTTCATCATTTCATGCCACGACTGACGTCTTATTACACGGTATAATCTACCAGTTACATTGGTTTTTGGGAGAAAAAAAGTTATAGTAGGGTTTCACATCAAAACAATGGTAAAAGAAACTGATAGAAATTAGGCCAACATTTCACTTGTCAAAATATTCCTTTTATTAATTAAGAAACCGCCAATGGTTTATCGATTAAAGTACTAATTAACTCAACTTTAACTGAGTCTCCAACATTTTTCATTTTGCCATTTGGGCGTTGTTAAAGTAATCCAAAATGTCCCCATTCTTTTGCATCTTTGACATTGATATAAACATTACTAATGTTGCAAAATTGCAGTTATTGTATTATAAATTTGTTTTTTGATAAGGAAATCGTCATTCGAACCATGAAAAGAATGGTGCTTAAATCAAGAAGGCTGTCAGTTTGTCACAAATTTTAATAATCCCTTATATTAAAATGATATAATGCAGCGTCAGCATAAGTAGTATGATAAAGTAGTCAAATGAGTCGCGTCACGACAAAACCAACATGATGGCCCTTGCGACCAGCATGGATCCAGACCAGCCTACATCCGTGCAGTCTGATCAGAATACATGCTGTTTGCTATGTAATAGAGTTGGTAAGCGAACAGCATGGATCCTGATCAGACTGCGCGGATGCACAGGCTGGTCTGGATCCATGCTGGTCGCAAAGCCACCATGTTGGTTTTGTCATGACGTGGCTCAAATATAGTTCTTTTTGAACTATTTAGTAAACACGTCGGCGACTGTCACTACCAACCTTATAAACCATAGCCTCATATGCGGTGACAGTTTACAATATGGGCCTCACTAAGCCTTTGAACACGGCACCTTTTCCTGAGTTATGCTTAAAGAATGATTGCTTATAATCTGTTGACCGTGCCAAGAGACACCCCACACTTAGCTGCCATTTTTCTTTGTTTGCTCTTTGTTTGTGGGGATACGCAAACGTATTCATATTACGGATTTTACGTACGACGTGAGCAGTAGCTCTTGTGCGACATTTGGAAAAAGAACCACTTAAACCTTTCTCGCGTATGTCCTTTACCATGTTGATGCACTGTATCAGCAGAAACATTATGTGCCATCTGTATTACTTGTTTCACAATGTTTTCTGCAAGACGATTTTTGATTCAAAAGTCCTTAAAATAATACCCTCAACTAAATCATTTATTTTTGGTCTAATAATTTTGATTGTTCAATTCAAATGAGATGGGTATATGTATACGATACACTACTTTACATGAATAAATCACTGGGCACGCTTTTTATAAGATTAGCGTTAGTGATCATCTACCTTAAACCGTTCATTGAAAAAAATATCGGTCTGGCCGGTGTTTATTGGCTATTTAACACAGATGATTGTCGTTTTGATGGGACAATCACCCAAACCGGTGTAAAATACCAATAACGAGCACTGAACAACTATTTTTTCTTTCAAAAAAAAACAAAAAAAAAAAAACAAAAAAAAAAACATCAGATTAAGTACCTTTAATGAAAATAGGGCAAGACGCTTGTTGTTTTTTTCTCATGTTGAGTGTTGCGCGCGCAGCAAGAATTGATTACAACAGGCGGTGTATGTTCAGATAACAGTTCGTTTGGATAATAGGGCAAACTGCTGAATATATTATCAAACTCCGGTATTTTTGGCGAGTATAAAAGATAAAATAAGATAATTATATTATAACTTACATTATTTGTTTAGTAATTGTTTCAATGACTAAATGAAAGAGAAGTGCACAAACCCTAAGTAAAAAAAATCAGATAGATGGGTCTTATATACCACAAATGAAGATGAAAGTGTAAAAATATGTTGTCAAAGGAGGCACTGGGAGAAAGGGCTATAAGGCGTTTCTTGGAGTATAAAAATGGTGTTATAACGCTTTCGGTGATTTAAACTGTTTGCATAGGCCTATGTTTAAAGTTTATGAAGTAAAATTTCGTCTGTGTATTTGCTTACAAGAACATCATGTAAATGTTAAAAGTATGCTAATCGTTACATTTTATAAGGCGTTTGTGAAATGCTCAAATGTTCAATTATATTTGACATTTTATCAGTCCCTGACTATTTCTAGCTGATATTTATCATAACAATCACACACGGACGGACATAGATTATCACGCACGTGAAAATATCAAAAACGTACATAATATGCAAAATAATAATAGAAATCTACTTTGTCTGTTTAATTTCTTAGTTAAATCAAAGCAAAACGCACAACATTATATTGTATCCTTTGTACGATGGCTGATTGTGCCATGTCGTGTTTTCTCTCCGCAGGGTGCCAGAGGAAAACACGAAATTACTTGTCATAAGGCCGTGCTTTGCCATTACTGGTAAATGTTTCTTAAAAACTTACCTGCTGACTGAAAATATATAATGTATTATAAAGTCTTAATCTGGTGTATATATGAACGACAACTCTATGAATCCTTAAATTATGTCGGTATTCGGCCTCGATGTTGTTACAATTCAACTCTCCAAGAGAGCACTAGACAAAAATATTTCGCGTTTTAGTTTTGTAATATTTCTACTAGTGTTGTTAAAAAGGGAATTTTATGTGAATTAATCTTAATTGTAAGACGGTTCACAATATTCCCCATTTTGAACAAATTGAAAATTGAACGATTTGGTCATGGGATGCATACGCATCATATTGCGCCAGACATGACGCTAATAAAATAAAATATCATCATGTTAAAATACTTCTTCTCTTAACGTATGTATATCGCGTGTTTATCAATAATCTTTAAATAACGCATGAGCGTAGAAAAAATCTATTTTTTCTTGCGTTGCAATTAAATAATGCAAGGTTTATCGTTTAAATGTTTTGTAATATTTCACAAGTTTAGGCTTACCAGCCTTCGAAATTACCGTTCTTCATACCTACATTATTCAACAACACACGCACTGTTATAATCTATCTAAGTAATGCTTTAAGCATGATCTTAAAACTCTATTAGAATAAACGTGAAATATAATATGGTTAGTTTGTCATGAAATGTCCTAGTTTTTCTTTTTTTGTACAGTCTGATATTATTGACCTATCAATTATGAATACACGAACGAACCATTTAAATATTCGATCAAACTGCGACTCCTGTCCGTGTAGTTTAAGAAATTTCAACATGGAGTATACAATTAACGTTTTGAAAAGTTGCACAATCTAAATGTGTAGAAGTCGTCGTTATATTCGCATTAGCACAGTCGGTTCAGTGATCGTCGGATACACGAGAAGTCTGTGGCTCGATCCCTAAAGTTGCCTTTTTTAGACCTACTTTTTTATTTTGTTGTACATTTTAATGGAAATGGCCCTGTGCTTGCAAAATTGTCCGCACATATATAAAGCAAATTAGCAACACTGTTTTGTCTCGATCTGAACTGGTTTTACGGCATTGACACGGCATTTATTGACTTAAATCTGAACGAATTTTGAATATGAATTCTCAATTTCATCATTCTATTTAAAACGAGTATACCAAAGAAGTGTAAAACATATAAAAACTAGAAAAACATCATACAAAACAATCATAGTTTCACTAATGCTGAAATAAGAAGGTATTATGAAAAACTTAAAACACTTAGGACATTTAGAAAATCATTTTTAAAATCTATCAAAAATGAATTTATTGTGTGTATACCATGAACTGTCCAACAATATTGACCTACCACTCTTGCATCTGACCCTATCGTCGGTAAATTCCGTAAAATTACTTTCTACTTTTAAATCGTTATGAATGTTAATTCGTCTAAATTATAATAAGTGTAACAGGGTCATCTTTTCGTGCATTGAACTAAGTTGAGTTCATTCCAGTTACTTCCCTTGTATCATTTTTAGCCAATCAGATCATCGTTTTGAATTTCCCTCCAAGTGTGTATTGAGTTCATGACTTTTGAGTGAGTTAAAAAGTCTAAAGTTTGAGAAAAGTTGAATTTTTGGAGGCCAGATATATTTTAATTTGTTTTAAGGATATTGGATTAATATTATGGTATGTTTTAAAGATCATTGTAGGACAATAACTTCTATATTCCATGTAAACAATATTTATGTTATTTGGAAAGTAAATTCATGATTTTCATGAGTTTAGATTTTCCCTTTTGTGTAAAGAATTGAGATGGTTCAGAAATAGCATTCCTTATTTAACATCACTTAAATCATATCTATGATGCACATTGACATTATATATAATATGCATTCTTTCTTTACATAATTTACAGCACCCAGTCACTGTGTGAATGATGTGTTGATTGCCAGGTGTACATTGTAGTTAGGTGTTTGATATGTTGATTGTAAAGCATACAATTCCACAAATTGGTAAGTCATAATTGTATATTGTAATAATATGTTATTGTGCCTAAGTGATTATTGTAACTTTAAAGATAATCATATATTTATTGTAATTATTGTATATTATGTAAGTGTCATGTATTTTAATGTAACTTGATGATATTATTATTAAGACATCCTATAAGATATGTAATAATGAACGCCACTAGAACCACTTAATAATAAGTATCAGATACTGTGTATTGAATATTATGATGAGATGTGTTTTATATGTAATAATGTAGATTGAAGGGAGATAACCTCGGAAAAGTATAACATTAAATGATAATACATTTAGTGACATTTAATGTGTATTTCAGTGTGCAGACTTGTTAACTATTGTTGATTCAGATCATTTGATATTGAGCAACAAGTGGAACTGTGTTATTGACAGTATACCTGAAAGGAACTTTCTGGTTTGAATAACAGTAGAGTGGTTTTATATATTAATGTGATTTAATATCAGATTACACAGTGACAGTGAACTTTTAATAAATTATATATCATACGAACCAAAACCTATTTGGATTTGTTGTTACTTTAATTTAACAACTGCAAATACCAAAAGGTAACATAAGAATCCCTCTTTGCGCAGTCGGTTAAGATATTTCACTTCAATAATATAGGCGTAAACTCGAAGGTTCGAGTACTGGGTCGTCATCTTTTATTTCTTTTTTATTTTCATTTTAAAACTGTCATTCTCATAAAACTCGTGGAAACCGTTTCTTGTCTGTATAATTTCATTATGTGTATACTGTGTTATTATTTCAATTTATATTTTAAATTTCATCATTAAACCAGATGTAGTTAAACGATTTGAAATACTTGCAAGTAATTTAAAAAAAGAAAATGTGTATCTTCATAACGTGGTGTTGGTTAGGAATCGAACCTTAGACCGCCACTGACCTGTGAACTAAACAAATATACTGATATTTTCGTTTAATACCGGTCAGTGTTACTCCAATGACCTATACGAAAGATTAATGAAGTGGCCGGTGAATACTGATGGACAATAACTTTCATACACCTTTATCACACGAATTTATCGCTACATTTGTTAACTTCACACGTCGGTGAGGTGTGGTGTATTGGTAAAGATACCGGGCTACTGATCTTTGGTTCGATTTTTTACCAAAACCACGTTATGAAGACAAACTTCTCGAGTGTGTGTGTGTGTGTGTGTGTGTTTTCTTAATTTTGCAAGAAATTATTTGAAATTGCTGTACTGCATCTGGTTTAGGGCATCTTGTAGTAGTAGTGTTGTTTTTGTATAATCGATATGTTTTCGTAAATACTCAAATGTACGGAAAATCGCAAATCTTTCTTAAGCATAGTTTTCAATTGCATAATGCAATTGTATATGCTTAAGCACATACACACTTTATAAAACGGTTTGGGCGAGTTTTAGGAGGATGGCAATTTTAAAACTAAAAGAAAAGAAATGACTGCCTCAACAGGATTCGAACATACGAACTTTCTTAAAGTGAAAGACCTTTAGCGAAAGCGCTAAGAGGGATTCTTAATGGAAACCATTTCACAACTGGTTATATACATTTATATCGATTTGAAGTAGATCGTAACGTTTACGGGATTTACCGGCTATATGGTCAAATGCAAGAGTGCCAGGTCAATGTTGTTTGGCAATATAAAATTGTGCAATCACTCGGCCACATCAGTTATAATATACATTTGTATTGCAAATATAAAAAAGAGCGGGTCTACGACAATGGCAAAAGTAGGGATCGAACTACAGACCTCTAAGATATTAGAAATCTCTTAACAGACTGTGCCAATGCATTAAGCTATTGTGACTTTTCAAAACATTTGTTATATACTTCATAATAATTCTCGTAAACTACACATTAGGTACCGAAGAGAGATCGACTATTTAAATAAATGTTATAATTGGCTGGTCAGTAATATCAGACTATACTAAATAGATCCACCACATAATGTTGTATTGTTCATGTATTTGCCTTAAAATAAGCTTTATTATTGATTGATATGTCGACTTTACTGAAAATGTCCTTAATTCCCTTTATATGCTGCAATCACTTATAGTTCACACTTATTTTTGATAGTACTTGTTTAGACATTTTATAAGGGATTTGGTTTCACAAAGAAAGCAAGCTGTTTTATATAAATAATAATTTCCAATCTTTATTTCATACACACAAAATTAGTTTTAACTATAAAAATTACATTCTATACAAAGTGATTAAAGTTATTATTACTTATCATTGTAGCATCATATTTGTTTTTTATTTCTATTTAATTGGGGGGGGATAATTAATCATTGATTAATATAATAATTTATTCTTACAGCTCCTTTAATCAGCATATGATCTGCCTAATTGGTAAGTCTTGAAACAAAGCACATAAGTTTGTTTCTGTAAATAATGTTCAAAACAATTTCCAGCTCAACGTATATAAAGACTTAAAATGCAAGTTTGAATCATTTAAGGTAAGTAATACTCAATAGTTAGATTGCTTTTTAGTTGATTGTCAATCGGCAGGTTGCACAACAATTTTTTGAATCGCAAAAACTATTTTAAATTTAAATTTAGCCAACATACACGCACATGCTATCCGATTACAATTCCATCAAAACGTATTCATGAAAAAGTTATATCGATACATTAGTGATTTAAATGCAATGTTAATCTTTACAACATTTTTTCATGAAATTAAGAAATAATGCAATGAATTACGATTTCGAATAGTTAGATACATTTCTATTATGTTCCTATCATAACAAGATTGAAAATGCGTCATTCGTACGTTTATCATTTTTATACATACACAAGTTGCACAAACATAACGTTCATATTAATCTTGAGTAATAATTTTTCTAGTCAAATTCTATACAACTTAATTAAATTAAAGATCAAAGTCTGGTTATATGTATAACATTTCAAAGAGGCACATGTTTCAGCCGATTGTTCTCTTGCTATTCAGTTGGTCCAATTTTGTTGACGTTGAAATATCTACTGAATGTTGTCTTTTTCGGCCCTAGCGTACTATCAACTTCTACGACAGGTCCGTCAGGGACGACCTTCATTTCTGGCAGGCCTTTTGCGGCGATGTTGCTCTTAGTAGAGCCTGGCATCACTTTATTTTTGCTACAAAAAATACACAATGTTTACTATTATCGGTATTTACAGTTGCCATCAGCTTGGTTTAAACTAATTTTATTTCAGTTCGATTGTGTTGGAAGCTATAAACTTATTGAAGCATTTTCGAATCCGTTCCTGGAACCAACCAGTACTAAGCAATGAGTGTAAAATTTCTTGCGCACGGAAACAACAGCCTGCTCCTGACGTGGTTTGAACCGACGCGGCCAGCAATCCTCAGGCTACTAATCCGAATTAAGCCTTAACCACCCGACCATGCCTCCACTCTGACCACGCCGCCACTCTTGTTGTCATCAGCGTGTGTTTAAAATCTACTCTAACATGATATATTCAATGACAATCATAGACCGGAATATAAAATCTAGCCAGTTGTATTACGATTTATATATATTATGTTCCGGCGAATCAGCAATCTGATAGGATACTTCAATATTGATCGCTACTTTTATTCGTGTTCCGTTTATATGATTAACTGAATTCGTTACATTTTAGATTTCTATTTGCAACACTACAAATATTGTGAAGAATAAAGTTTACCTGACTTTAAAGTATACAATGAGGCTAGCGGCTATCAATACAGCTGTACCCAGCAGGGAGACTGACACAGCCAATACTAAAAGAATACAATCACATTTTTTATTTGCTTTTGGTCGTAGAATTTTGCAATTTGAGGGGTTTCCGATATACTGCCAGGTTTTGAATATCATGAATGTCGATACGTCATTTCCCGTGTTTTGTCTGATTATATTTGTATACATAAGAAGGCCACAGGGGCCGAAAGCTATGGCAAATACAAATTAGCGTTTTTAATTAAAATTATCTTTGTGTAGTAGATAATGAATTCTTCTAGGATAAAATATTATTATTTCCATATAATTTGAACAAAAATATTTTATACGAATATCCAAAATATGTAGACAAAATCAATATTTCAAATACTATAAAACCCTGGAATATATGCTTCTAAGACAAATTCACTTGAAATCAAATGAAGAAATAATTTTGCTCAGTTTGCTTTTTGTTCCAATATTATTGTATATAACTATATATAATTAAGGAGAACAAATATCTATTTACAATGACACTTTAAAAATAAGTAAGTTACTAAAACATTTATACCTATGTCACGTATTCCGCTATATCCAAAGTCCTCTTTTTCTTTAGGTACCGCTGAAAATTGAAATTAAAACGTTCCGTTATACATCTCTGAGACTACCTGCGTCATGAAATAGGATATTTTATTGGATGTATAAATTCAGCTACCATGTTATTTTAATATATAAATTATAACCGATAATAACGTTAATTCATTGAAAAAACACTTCTATTCATTGACTAATTTTATACTTTTATATTCTAGAGTAAAAGAATTACGTAGAAAATAATATATGCTCATTCCGACGTGTGATTTTGATTTATGCTGTGTCTGTACGCCGATTTATATTTCGGGGGTCCACCTAACCGGCTTTCCTATATAACTAACTAGTTAATACATATTTCTCCGCAAGTAACCGACTACTAATCCCACATATTTGTAAGAGACTGATGACTCAATTTCTGATATAAATTGTCAAGGAAAAAACCCTGCATTACATACAAATCAGATGACGAACGTGTCGATTTTCCTATTTTAATTCAAATAAGTGTGCTTTGAGTATTCAAGGCTACCGTGACATTAAGATAATAAAACATCATAGCTAGAAATAAACCGGCAATATTCGCCAATAAGGAAACAAAAAAATCAAATTTGCTATAGAATAATTTCCTACAGCAGAATTCAACTGAAAAAGGAATTGAAAGTGCTATGCCATTGATTTGGTATAATTATTTTATTATTTTGCCAAAAAGGTTTTTTTCTTAATCCGTGAAACACGTCTATAATTCTATAACAAACCTGAACAAGTAAGCATGTCCTCGTTTAATACGTATCCTGTTAAGCAACTACATTCAAAGCTTCCAATCGTATTGCTACACAAATGTTCGCAACCCCCGTTTTCTGCTTCACATTCGTCGTCATCTAGAATCATCAAATGAAACTTAATAAAATTTCATATTTTAAGTAAAAATCTGTAAAACGTTTTTATATAGAAATAAAATCTTAAAAAAGGAATTGCAGGCTATGATTGATTAAATCTGTTCATGAAAGAGTATGTGAAAAGTGCATTATCTCTCACGCCCCTATACCCCTATAGCACCGAAATGAGCGGTATTCAATCTTAAACATTAACGTACTGATAAATGTGATCTTGATAACTCGCATAACTATTCTACGTTTCCTTGTTGCTAAGTGAGTATTTACAAATAAGATACTAACCGTATTCTATTACATGCAGATATGCCTTATTAGATGTTATGTTTGCCACAACATTTCCTGCAATGCATGTGTATGTAGCATTGTCTGTTGTAGATACATTTGCAATTAATAAACGCCTTTGATGTTCATTCTGCAGAAACTCTTCATTCTTAAGCCACCAATATAATGGATTCGGATTGCCTGTCGCATTGCAAATGAATACCGCCTCCGATGACAAAAGCAGCGTTTGGCTTTTCAAAATTGTCAGAAAGGTTGGTGCAACTGAGCAAAAGGGATTAGCATCATATAAGAATGAGACGCTTGTCTTGATGGACTGCATTGCTATGGTCAAGTCTGCCAGAAATTGTGACTCGTTCTGAAACATTTCTATTAACACGCTTTCCAAATCAAGAATTGCATTTTTGATGTTGCTAATATTTGGTACCTTCTCATCCTCATATAATTCGTAGAGAATTGATATAGAATGCAATGTGCAATCTTGAAATCCTTTGCAATCGGTTTTATCAAAATAGTCGTGTGTCATATTTTCCAAAGCTATCATCCAGGTGTCAAAAAAGTTAATAGATTCAATAGATTGCATTTCTTCGTCTAAATTTTCCATTGACAATTGTGCAGCTGAATTTATTTCATTAAGGAGAGGATCATCTTTAATTGATGCTTTTGTTTCTTCGGTAGCTTTCTCAAGATCATCGTCGGTCAAATTATAATCTTTCTCAGCATATTCTTTGCTTATGCCTATATTCTCTAAAGTCAAGTTATCAACCAACGCATCACTTGAAAATTCTTGCAATTCAGCCCTAATGGAAGACATTTCAATTATAACTTGCATTGAGTCATTAGCTATAGTATGAAGAATGTCGGATGCCTCCTTCAAGAAATCCATTACAGTCGATATCTTTACACATTTTTCTTTAAAAAGGAGAACTCTGCTCCCATAATCATCATGTATATGTACACCCTGACCGGAAATATTGTTAGATATATCTAAAGTTTCGTTTAAAACAAATCCAGATCCATGAATTAAGTCAGTATCTCTTATTGCTCTTATAAATTTTGCGTGCACCTGTGCATTAGATTTAAATAGTATTTCTCTGCGTTTTCGGCCAATGCCAATGACATTTTTAAGTTGTTTCATAACAGCATCTATTGTTGCACGTGCAGCATTCCAAACACTTTGAATGACATATTTTTGAAATTAATTCTTATTTTTATAGATCTCCAACCTAACTTAAAAGCATTTACATCGCACGATACAGCAAATACAGGTAAATCAGACGTTGACACATGAACATCAAAACCACAGTTCTTTACATCGATTATCGTTTTGATACCAATATCAATAACAAATTCTAAAACTTTAGCTGCTGCTCCTAGAGCAAATTTGACACCTTCAACAGCTAATTTTGCACCTTCAATGACACCTTTTGCAAATTCTAGTCCAATTTTAGCCATTTCAAGAATGCCAACAGCGACGTCAAGAATGATTCTTGATTTATCAACAACCACCTGTGCCACAGACAGAAAAACCTTTGCAGTGTCAAATGCAAGCATAGGGGCCTTAACAAATATTTTTGCAATTTCTAATGCCGCATAAGCAGCTGCTCTTACTATTTTACAAGCCAAATTTGCTATAACGCAAAGAGGATCGGGAATCCTTAACATACATTTTGTCAGAAAGCAACAGGGATATCGTATTCTACGACCGAAGAACCTTTTTGTACATGTCCTGCACTTTACACCAGGAATACAAAATGTTTTACATTCTTTGATTTTACATAAGTTATCAATATTTTTTTGTGCTGCCTCAAGTGTTTTTAAAGCCTTTTCAAATGGCTTCTTTGCTGCTTCGAGTTTATCTTTCGCCGTTTCGAGCGAATTTATAGCTTTATCAAAAGCTTCATTTGCATTTTTTACGCGCCTTTGTTGACTTTCAAGCCATTTTTGTGCCTTAGAAAATCTTTCCTGGGCACTTGTGAGGGTCGACTGAACTTGACTTAATCTTTTGTTTGCCATATTAGCAACAAAATTAATAGCTTTTTTTCATGGCCTCTAAATAACTGCCTTGAAAAGATGAACTGTCTATTTGTGTTTGTCGGCGCTTTCGAACATTTGCAACAAAAGTTCCTATAACTCTAAAAGTCAGAGCATGCCAGTTCTTACCAGAGGAAGCATATATGTCAACATGAGCAAGAAAAATGTCCCAAATATTTCCTTCAATGTGCAGATAGACGCGACTATTGGTTATGAACAAATCGCTTGTCGCCCTCAAACCTAATATATTTGAATACACTTGTTGTTGAATAAGAAACTTTGAATTGCTCACCGAGAATGCTCCACCAATTTCAAACCCATTCATTGACTTCAAAAAGAAATTAAATTGTTTGGCAACAGTTAATCTTCCAATCAACCTAAGTGCCTTTTCGTCTTTTAGAAAATTTCTTATTCTTTCAAATCTACTGCACTTTAGCAGACTGCCATCTGAATAAACAAGCTCTATTTTAAAGTCACCCAAAGTCAACCCCATGATTTTCAAGGACACTGAAAATTTCAATCCGAATTCTGTAAATGAAGAAGCCGATTTGATCAAACTGTTTGTTATTTTGTTAACAGTATTTGTTACATAAGTCTTTAAAGCATTTATTTCACTTTCGAGTTGCAATTTAAGGTTTATGAAAAGTTCATGCACAATAAATTCAGTCTCGTAAAGGAACAATTTGGTTTTTGATTCCAGGCTGACAAATGTTGTCCATACGTTTTCAAACATACGTTTTGCTTCAGCTAAGTCATTAGACACGATCATTCCTAAAATGTCTTGAAACAGATTTTTTAACGTGTAAAGTAGTATTTTAATGTCTGTTATAAGTGCTTTAGTAGTTTCTTTAAAAACAATCTTAAGTGCTTCAAGAGATGTTTCCAAAAGATGAAGTAATCTGTCAACGATTTTTTCATAATTATGAATGTCATTCTTGACATCAAACCAAAAACTATTTATTCCATGCTCATATGTAACAAAGGCATACACACGATTAGTGTTTTTTAAAAGCCAATCCTGCAGTAGCGGAACATTTTGAAAAGGGTTTACGTTCAAAATAACTGAGAAGAAAATTCCTGGAGGATTTGATTTTCCCCCGCACAAAGTTCTGTTATTTCCTGTAATAGAAATAAATGGAACATTATTTACAATTTTCAATTTGTAACAAAAATGAAGTTAATTATATGTGAAGCATTTGTGTTCTTAAAATATTATATAGCAGACTCAATGAAATTATTTTAAAATTTTTCATATCATCTGAGTGCTTATTATTTGTTTACCGCCAATGGATGTATAGGATTGGATGGCTGCAGCTTCCGGAAAATGTACGTCAAACTTTGCACCAAACAGTTTCAATTTCAATGTTGCCGTCATTGTGATATCAACAAATAAGTTCCATTCTTCATAAAAAATGTTTGTTAAAATCTGAAAAAGAAGTAAAAGAAGAAAGAATACAAACAAAAACAGTGTTATAGAAATAGTTGTTTATGAATTGACGATTCTTTTCACTACACACATTTCAGCGTCTACAATGACTGATAAAAAATACTGATAATGTTATCGTGCTTACATTTTTTACATTTGGTACATTTAAATACATATCTGAACTGCCGTCAACCTTCCAAGTCACGTCCAACCAACTTTCATCGACCAAGTTATCTTTTATGCTGAAATCACCACCGATCCAAACATCACTTCGAGGAAACACACTTAAATAAAGAGTGTAGTATTTTTATTTATGAATTAAGGAACATACTTAAAAGTCATTCAGAACTATGTGAACAAAATCATCTTAACACATTCTATATAGGTGATGATTTTCGGTAGGCCAGTCTTTGAGTACCCAGGACAAAAATAAACAAATTGTTTGACGTCTATTATCAATGTTTGGAATTATAATAAAAACATCCACTATATACTAGCTTGCTTAAAAACTGAACGTTTTGAATGAGTGCGTTTGAGGTACTTGCAAGGATAATTTTCAAGCAGTTTTAATTTTGACCTTTTAAACTACAGAACTATTACGCTCTTTTTTCGATAAATAGATAACTTTATAGAAATAAATAATGTTTCACAATTGGTGAGTACTGTGGAATGTAATACAAATGAAACTAAACTTATGTTCCTTTGGCAAGAAATGATTTTTGAAAAAAGAAAATCCAAGTAAAATAAGATTGACAAAAGGCTAAAAAGGCAAATGACAAATTTGACAAGTTTTATGTCTAAGTAAAAGTGAAATCAGAATAATTAAATATATACAAACAAAGCATATACATGTATCTCCACTGAATGACCTGAATGAATAGTCCCCGGATAAAATGTATGGTCAGCAGTATTTGTACTATCATGAATCTGCACAAGCTACACTGCCAATGCTAAACTGCATGCAAAACTTCATATATGTGCATATAATTTATTTTGACACTTGGATTTAATTTTTCGAAAAAATGACCTCGTTATGTATGTATTGATAATGCTGAATGAAAGAACATCATAATTGAATATCCAGAACAATAAGTGAAATAGCATGCAACATTATTTTAAAAACGAGATATGTTACTATGCATATGTACTTACGGGTAAGTGAATGATGCATCCCCATTCCATAACTGAAGTTCAGTTGCATGGTGATGGACATTGATTCCATTTACTACAGATAATCCAATTCCTCTTGGAAAAATTTCAAGGCCAAATTTCTGTTTAAGTTGTTGAAATATATTCATGTTGTCTAGAATACTTCGTGACTCAGCAGGTATCATTAAAAAAAAGCTTCCACCATTTGTATGACAAAGATCAACAATCATACAGAATTTATTACCCTTTAAAGGCACAGGAAATCTTACTTCTTCACCTAAAACTCTGAGAGAAAAGTTAGACCCAAATGTGAATACCGTGTACAAATGAGTTTTGATAACAGGAGCGCCATTGCAATATTCTTTATCGGGTATATCTTTACCATATACTAAATCACTTTTCATATCTACAATCTCTAGAACGGAATTGCTTGTCTTGTCAAAAGATATCCAATCTGGAAGTACTGGAAATAATGAAATAAGTAGTGTTCTGAAGAACGACCCATGAGAAATAAAATCGAATATATCTGTTTCTATCAGTTTAAATGGTTTGCAGTCAGCTGATGTTGCTTTGTCCACAAATACAGAGCCATCTTCTATGCCATATTCAACACCATGTTTGAAGTCGAACTTTCCATTATAAAAAGTTACGTCAAAACCACGAATCGATATTGGTAAAGATAAATCATTCACTTTCACAAAGGTAATACCATAGGTATAATAAACATTAGGCTGTTTTGAAGCCTTGTACCACTCTGACGTCGATGCTAATTGCAAGGTAATATTGGTACCATCTGTACATCCTGGTAGTTGCAAGACAAAACATGGTTTTGGGAGCAAGCCTCCTCCAATACTATTTCTTTCAAAAACATTCCCCTCTCTATTTCCTCCTGTCATAAGAGACAAATTTATGACTGGTATTAGGTCTAGGTACAATAGATTCATTTTTTACTTGTTATGAATGTTGTTAAAATAAAATAAAAACATTTATTGAGCGGGCCTTAAAAATTCACCAATTATCAACTGATTACTAGAATCACTTGATGTTTTTTTTCAAAAACAAGTATTGAATTTCTCATCCTAAGTGAGCTTTTGTATGCAATTACTTCAATAAGATACACGGATCAACATTTAATTTTTTATAACAGTATATCTGAACATCAGCAGAATGACATAATTCCATGGAAAACGATATGTATTTCAAGGGACTTCATGTTCTTATATACCTCCAGGGCATGATTTGCCGTCTACATGTATATGTCGGTCGTCATAGCATCCGCAAATGTAAGATCCTATTGTATTAGTACATACTTCTTGACATCCCCCATTATAGGTAAGGCATTCATCTAAGTCTAATGTAGACAATTATACATACATGTATATATATAAACATAGAACACATTTTAGTGGTTTAAGCAAATTTGAACATTTAAAGCATTGTAATAAACTGAAATAAGTTCTTGAAAACGTTCACAGTTTTCTACATAATTAGCCTTTAGTTTATACAAATTTATTTAAGTTCGATTGTGTTGGAAGCTATAAGCTTATTAAAACACTCTCGAATACGTTCCTGGAACCAACCAGTACTAAGCAATGAATGTAAAGTTTCTTGCTCAAGGAAACAACGGCTTACCCCTGATATGGTTTGAACCCACGCGGTCAGCAATCCTTAGATTCCTAGTCAGACGCTTTAACTACCCGGCCACGCCGCCACTCTTTGATTAGCCTTTAATTTACAATAGGCCAAATAGAAATAACTTAGTATGATGTTAAAGGATATCTAATTTATGCTACCGTTCTCGCAGTGTGCAGCTGTGAATCCTGGCAGACATGAACAGGAGTATGAATTCAAACCATCTTTGCAAGTGCCACCGTGTTGGCAAATGACGTTCATGCAGTCGTCTATATCTAAAATGAAGAAAGATAGTTCAACAGAAACCATAGGTTTGATATTCTATATATTTTTTGTATTATTTTGTCTTGTTGTTCAAAAAATGTGTCGTTATCAATAAAACTTTCAGAAAATTGTTTTCAGCAAAATGTAAGCTGAGTTATTTATATTCAATTTAGAGTGTTTATCATAGTATTTTACAGTGATATATTGCCGTGCTAGATCCTTTTCAGTTTGATAAAAAAACTGGACTGACTTATTTTTAAATGCTCATTACTATGATCCATTTGTATTTTAGGAGAAATTTATGAAAATTCGTATGTGCCCTATGGAAAGCAAATTTATTTAAACATACATTTAGGTAACAGATTATAATAAACCTTTTGTAACTTACCAACAGAGCAGGTCCTCAAAGTCTTTTTGTATTTCATATCCAATAGGACACTTACAAACATATGATCCATTTGTATTCTGACATGTGTGTGAACATCCGGATATCCCTTGTTCACACTCATCAATGTCTGAAAAAGAAATATTTTGAAATATTTTCGTCAGGATAGCGATTTTGTAATGAAAGTGTTAAATTTGATGAAAACACATTATCTAATTTTATCTACAGAAAAGAAGGTTGATTTTTAACAAGATTTGAAAAGCGTAACAAGTATTTAACTTAGAAATGTAAAAGAAAATCTAATTCATTTCGATTTGCTTTGTCATTTAATAGCATTAATTAACAAATTTGTTCTAATTTGCCATAAAAAGATCAAACCTGAGCAAGTTCTTTCATCTGCATCTCTTTCAAATCCTTGTCTACATTCACAATAGAACGTACCAGGTATGTTAACACACGTATGGTCACATCCTCCGTTTGCAAAGGAACATTCATTTATGTCTTTTATTGAAATAGAAATATTTTTTGTCAAAAACAGAAAGAGAAGTGATAACTATAGCGAAAAGAAATTCATTAACATGACATATATTCTGTAACATTTTATAAGATATGTGAAATAAACTGTTGCTCCAATTAGGACGTGAGACACACTGCAATTGTATTTCATTAGCAGATTCAACGACAATATTAATGTTTTACTCACCAAATGATTAATAACGTCCATTCTCTTATTAAGAGAATTCCAAGTTAAACCCTTTATTTTTTTTCACAATATAAGCAAGGCTTAGTCTAATAGACATCAGATATCTCTTCTTTAGAAATGAAATGTGCGGAAATTTTAAGAAATATTTTACAAAAAAACCAATTTTGATTCAATCCTATTCTTTATTAAGTTCAAGTAAATTTAAGTCTTGCAACATATTTTACATTATAAATTTATTTTCATGAAGCATTTCAATTTCAAATCAGGAAAATTGAATCGTTTCAGTGTAATAAAAGCGAATTAATTTCTATTTTCATAAGTGAGACATTTATAATACTTCCACCTGTGCAAGTGACTCCGTCTGCGGCAAGTTCATATCCGTCATTACATTCACATTTGTAAGAACCCAAAGTGTTGACACAGAAAACCTTGCATTCAGAACTGCCGTCTGCACATTCATCAATATCTGTTAATACAAATAAAAATAACAACTTTTACAAAAATATTTGTTGAAATATGTTTTTATGTATGTCTCGCAAAATTAGGTTCATATACTGAAATTATTGATTAGGAAAATTTTGCAATCTCAAAAACAATTTCATACGATATCACTGTAAATCCAACTGTATTATCCTCCATTTTTACTTTTGCGAAAAAAAGGCGAAAAAAAATGTAACCATAGTTGATATATAAAGTAATTTATTGGGCAAGTTATCTTTATAACTTAACTAAATATCATCGTTAATATTTGCACAAGCAATACCTTGAAACCTAAACTAAATCAAGACACAATCACGGGTCCCCTTATTGTGATCAGACTTCCCCTTGCCAGAAGTCAAATTATATTAAATGATTAATGATTTAAGTATTAAATTAAAATGAATAAATGGGTGTCCTTGGGGTTTCCGGAAAAAGCCTGCCTCGTTGGATTATGAATCAAAATAGAATTCGCCAAAGTGTGCAACTTATCAATAAAAATTGTTTCTATACATGTCACTAGCGTATATATGTCAAATCCTTACATTTACAAGGTTGCTCTGTTTAGACTGATTCGATTTCTTCAAAGTTGCTAAATGATTTTCCGTGACTACACATTTTGCATTTTGTATGACCTCTGTTTTTTTTTGGTTTTTTTTTTTTCAAAATCTATATCGTTTTCAGGAATAGTCTTTAGCGATTAGGTTAATAAATTCCAAATTTCTTTTATAAGTTATTTAGTCAAAATTACGAGCTTCTAAGTCTTTATATGTAGTTTTAACTTCTCAGTCATAATTAGGAGTTTAATCATACAAGTCAATGAACGTTCATATTCAAAAGACATACAACTTCGATTAATCTTTTTTCATAACTTTCTGTTAATAAACAACAATTAAGCCGACTCAATCGGTTACTTAGAAGGCATACATTTGCAGTTTATGTTATACTATAATAATAATAATATGCATAATTCTAAGATACCATTACCATATTTGTCTTTGAATTAGGGTCAGTAAGTTCTGTACAACGTTTGAGAAACAAATTAAAAGTGTATTTTGACATCATTCCAAGAGAGAGCTTTTTGATGGTGCGTTAAAAAATTACCTTCACATGACTTTCCCCTCAAATTTCAAGGTTTTATAACCGTTTTTTACAAAAGGGATGTAAATGACCCAACACTGTTTATACCCGCTTAAAGCTTACAAAACCCGATAATTTCCCGTCTGCAAATTTATCAATATCTAAAACCAAAAGTCAAAGATTTAAACCCTAAAAGTCAAAATTTCCAAAAACCAAAAAAAATTTAAGTTGTCAAAACGTATAAAAGGTGTATAATGTTTCCGTTTTTTTTTAATTTTTCATCTATGTTATAGCCTTAATCATTTATATTATAGCCATGATAAGCAAGACAAACAAATATCTAATGTCAAAATGTGATTTTGTCATAAAATAATCAATTATCTACCTTTGCAAGATTTTCGATCCGAATCCAATTCATAACCGGTTTTGCAAGAACATATAAAAGATCCGACAGTGTTAGTGCATGAGTCTTTGCATCCAGCGGTACCTTCAGCACATTCATTGATATCTGCGCATAATACAAGAATGGCGATGTCACTTTTACAGCACTTAGTATAATACTAAATCGAAAAGGTTTTTTGTCACAAGAATTGTCGTTGGAAGCAAACAAATGCCTTCCAAAACACGGCCCAGTAGAGGAACCATGACCGTTGACATGCATCAAAGGCATGGTTACTATTAGTATAAAAAAAGTTAAAAAATAAAAAACAGTGACAAAAAATATCTCATATATCTTTAGCCCTAAATTTAAAAAAATATACAAAAAATGAAAAGACACAATTTTTCAAATTTTACTAAATTTTTACATTTTTAAGTATAAACTTCAAACCTCTTTTGCCTTGGCTTTTGTGAATGAGAAGTTTTCCTAACGTGCCACAGAAGTAAGCCAATGTATTTCAAAAACAATTCATTGAGGACAGAATTGATGACTGAATATTACCTTCGATGTACTTTTATGAAGCTATAAACCTTAGAAGTCCTAAATTGTGACCTTGATCTTTAATGAACCATATATTTAAAACAGAGGGAGGACGGACGAACAGTACGAACACTACATGCCTCTCTATTTTGGACGGGTCATAAAAATTGCTACCAGTGCCAATGAGATAACATGGAGCCATTTCGATCAGAAAATTAGTCAAGTATGACCTTTAATTAACTTAAAATGAAAGAACATTTTGAATAAATAACAGTTGGACTTACTTTAATGTATTGATATATTTATACCAGTTGTAAAAAAGAAGTTTGGTTAGATTAAAAAAGGAAGAATAAAAAACGACTTGATAAATAATAAAATATACTTCAAAGATTTTAATCTTTTATGGAATATTACGATATAAATACTTTATTAGCAATAAATCCGTATTTGTAATAAGGGAAGACAAACACTTGCCACAAGGAATGTCATTTAATAGATGATTTTTATGATTTGAAACAACATGTGCCTTTGACTTTCAAGTATCAATTTAAAGACCGTATAATATTACCAAAATAACTTATTCTGACATTTATTGCTGTCTTCACACTTATAAACCACGCGTTAAGTAAATATTGATCAAAATAAAAGTTATAGGGGATATTTTGTAAGAGATTTAAGGAAGTACTTATACTTTAGAAATTAATTTCTGCATATTGAAGTAGTCTATAAAAAGATTATAAATTCTGCTGACATTTTAACAGTGTCTCAATATTTCTAAATGTAACATTTTAATTGCATATTAAACCGCTGTCGTTCAATTGAAATGCCTTATGATAATAGTTTGTAGAAAGAAAATATAAAAAAATAAATCTGTGACCCTAACTTGTTGTGCTTTTTTAAAGTTGCCTGATAATCTATGAGCATTTTACAAAGTTTAAAGGGAGAACATGTAGTAAGAAAAGACAGAACTGTACCAAACATCATCATGCACAAACACAATAAAAAACACTTCGTCTATTAAATTTTGTTATCAAATAATATGTAAATATAAAAGCTACGAACCTTTGGCATGATTTCCATCTTTCAAAAAGCCCGTAGCCCCGCGTTTTAAAAAAACATTTTTTATGAAAACCCTGCCCTATTAGTAAATCTAAAGGTTTACATTTATTCAAACTTTTGGTTTAAAAAATTTCGTTTGCATCTTTTAAAAAAAAAGAAAAAAAACTATATTTTGGGAAAATTAAACAGGCATGGTTTCAATATTTACGTTTCAAATGGAAAATGGGCACGAAATTTTAAAAATTAAAACCCTAGTTTTATAATTGCTGGGACCTTTACCGGGGACACAACCGGTTTTTTTTTTTTCCAAAAAACAAATTATTTAAATCTGGTATTTTGCCAAGTAAAAAATGTAAAAAGATCTTTAAATTTAGATTAAAGGGAAATTCATTTTCCCATATTTTTCCCCTTTTCAAGTTAAAAGAAAATGGGGTTCCTTTTTAATTTAAATTTAATAATAATAATTTAAAAATAATAAATAAAATAAAAATAATAATAACAACAAAAAAACTGAAAGTATCTGAGAAATTTAATAATCGTACATTGTAGAATTGTTCACACAGAATAAGTAGAAAAATAAATATAAATAAGTTACCTGAACACTTTGGTTCAGAAAATCCAGGTCGACAAGAACATCTGTCAGGAGATATGCATGTTCCTCCGTTTGGACAAGACGTAGAGCCAAAACATATAGCTGGAAGGTAAAAAGTAAGAAAATCAAATCGTTTGCATGTGTTTAACTGCAACCTGTCCGTCAAACTTTACACATTTATCCCAATGAAAATGATTAGTATTTAAGAAATGATATCCGTCTTAGCGGTATTTAAAAACTGAGTTTTTTTTTTAATTATCTTTCATGAATAATTTTATCAATATTTCAATACATAACATTATTCATTCATTCCGATTTAACTGCCGTTCAGTTTGGTAATTCTTACAAAACCCCAGCGGTCACATCTAGCTCTTGTTTCTACTTGCTGTGACTTCTAGATAAGATAACATATCTACCTAACATTGAAATCATAGAAATAACAGCTTTAGTTCCTTTGACCTACCATTTGGAACCAAGATTTTGAAATTTGAGTTATGGTGTTCATATTTGGATGAGTGCTGAAAAATGAGCTGCGAGTTGCATACCTTTACTAAATATATATGTACATTGTATCTATTAATTTATTTTTATTTTTGTTACTTAATTATTTTTTATTTATCTATTAGTTTTTGATGAAATAAATTTTATCACAATCATATATATATCCTAAACTTACTATCAAAAATGTTTACTATAAAAAGATTATTACTTAAATATTTTTATCTGATTAATTTTATTCTATGATTTCGCTAAGTTAAACATTCAAACGGCATGTAATATTATGAGAATTCTTGAAATAAAAATTATAATGAAAACATTACGGGTCGAGCAGGTACTTCCAGTGTAGCCACTGCAACATTTTTGTCTATAACATGTTGAGCTGCATGCATAACTTATCTGCCTGTGTTTGATAAAATAATATAATTGTAATACATATAAGCTGCTTTTCTAATACTTATTCATCACATACCTGTGCCGATTTTGCGACTCCGTAAAAACGGTATTGCATGGCCGAGCATTTAATTTGACGTGACGTCATTTGCGTTGTATAAACACAGCGTTAAGACGCGCTAAATGTTAGAGTTATACAATAGACGCGTCATTGAAAAATGATTCTTTTTTCACTTTAAACACACTATTTATTTTGGGTATGTGATAAATATAATATTGTATTCGTGTAACTTCAATACTGAATTTATTGAACGAGTTGAATAAAATAATATTATGCTCGCCAGAGACTCGCATAATATGATTTTATTCAAATCGTTCAATAAATTTAGTATTAAACATACACCCATTCAATATCCTCTTTTTATCACATCGACGGTCTAGTGCTATAAGGGCGGAAGTAGTACTTGCGCCCTTTTATATGTTTTTACGCCATTCGAAGCAGAACGTCACCGCGCACCTGCTGACAAAATATCTTTACCCTAGCATTTAAGTTGGCTTCAATATCGAAGAATGATTGGTAGGGCGTAAGTGCATCGAGCTCAAAAGGATCATTTTATAAGGGCGTAACTACACCATAACTACACCGTGCTCAAATTTTATAAGATCCTAAGTAGCAGTTAGGCCTTTTTAAGATTTTGATATGTTAGTTCAAACAGATAGTCGAATAATCACACTTACGCACGTTAAGACTTTGTGTCACGAGTCAGGGACATACCTTTACACATTTAAGGATATACACTTTAAAGATAAAGGGGTAAAACTGAATCACTAGAAACAAAATGACATGATTAAAGAAATAGCAACATTGCATTCAAACAGGCGCTTTGCATGTTTCGTAAAATATAGGCCTCTAGTTGTACCTATCTATAATCAGGTGGGAGTGGGAGGAATGTCCCCTCCCATAGACCGAGAAATTTCCAAAAAGGAAGCAACGATATTGCATTAAATTGTCTTTATAAACATTCATAATTTTGTCATGTTAAAGAAAGTTTAGTCTACTCCGATAGCTTCATGTGGCTTCATTTTCAACAATGTGTCTTTGTGCAGTAAACACTTTAGAAACTGACAAAATCCACACCAATTCTGTTAGAAGTCATTCTAAGATGGCAGGAGACACCGTGCATGTCAAGCTTATAAAAGGGTCGAAAGGACCAAGATTACATAAAAGCTAATATGAATAATTTCTTTAAGGGAAAACTGTTAATTAATTTTTTTTTAAATAATAACGAAGGTTTTTGTACATTGGGCCATTGGACAACACTGTGTGACGGGAATAGACTATGGTATAGTAAGCATAGAGTTCACACACTTTAATGTTAGATACAGTTGACATTTGCTTAGTCTTAGTGTCATTGATCTAAAAGTTGATTGTTAATTACAATAAATTTTGAATTTGGATCTGTTAGTAGTAGTATAATAAGTGTATTCTTTCAAAATTTCAAAGTGCTTTTAAGCTTGTATTTGGCAGTTTTTTTTAAAGTAATTCTAATTCCAACAATATGTACATGTAAACATGAAAACATGATTTGATGATAATATTTCATGTGTATCTTATGAATGATCATTCATTCATGCCTCAATACAGAAAAAAAAAATATTTGTGTATTTTGTCATTAACTTGTAGCATTACTACGTGGGATTTCCACGCACAGAATGTATCAAAAAAGTTAATTCTAGGAAAGAATCAATTTGTTGTAACTTCTAAGGTAAATAATAAGGTAATAAGCAGCTGGAAGTTAATTTAATGAAACATAGAAACTGTTCTAAATTTTATAATTATGTAACAATTACAATCAATACGTGTTTTATTTATCTGTCATGTAACCTTCACATACAATGTCATAGGATAAAAGACAAAGGATACTTTAAAAAAATGGGTCACTTATTATAAATTCATTATTGTTATAGATAAAACAATTATACAATTGTATTTAAAAAATTAATGATACACTAAAAGATAAAAAAGGGCATATATGGTAGTTTACGCGCCTATTTAAGCTAAGTCGAAAGTAACAATTTTAAACAGCGTAACTGCTAGTTACGTCCCTTTAGAATTATTGGCCGATGCATGAAAATGTAAATATTGTAAGGGCGTAAAACGGATTTCGTGAATTTTATTAAGGTGATGGGTTATTTTAATTTGAAAAAAATGTTTTAAAAAAGTCGATATTAGTTGTTCTAAGTGTGTCCCAAATTTTATCATGATTGATAAAGGATCAAAGTCTACAGACAGTTTTTTTCAATTTCCCAAAAATAGCACTAGAACGTCGACATACCCGTGCCGATTTTGCTACTCCGTAAAAATGGTATTGCACGAGCGTGCATATAATTATTTTGATATAAACATAGCATTTGTTAGCGTTATACTATTGGTGCGTCAATAAAAAAATGGTTCTTTATCACTATATCACTTCAAACTTCGTGATAAATAGAATACTAAATTCGTGTAAGTTCATTACTAAATTTATGAATTTCGCCAGAGACTCGCACAATATAATTTTATTTAACTCGTTCAATAAATCCAGTATTAAACTTACACTCATTTAATATCCTCTATATATTATTAAAAATATGTCTAGAAACATAGGTGCTTTATGTTGGGCAACAGTCAACTAAAAATCAATGGGTTCTTTTCCAAGCAATTTCCGATAATATTTTAAATAATATAAAAGATGAAAGTACTAAATATATTTTTAATATCTGTTTCAACTTGTGTCAAACGTAGACGTTGCCTTCAGTAAATTCGCATTTTATTTCAAAAAATATGTTTTATCAAACGGTGGAGCAATGACAAATAAAATGGAAATATAAATTAAACATACTTGTATTTTGAGCATCTTCCAATTATCCAACAACTTGTTGATGTTCTCGCAGTTGTAATAACATGTTCTAATAGCAGCGTGTAGCTCTCTCGGCAATATCCAGCATTGATACCACTGAAACGAGAAATACGAAGATAAAAATTAATGTCAAGTAGAGAAACTGATAGCGAACAGTATGGATCCTGATCAGACTGCGCGGATGCGCAGGGTGGTCTGGATCCATGCTGGTCGCAAACGTATTATGTTGGTCTTGTCATGGCGCGGCTCAAATGTTGATAAAGTAAATACAAAGCATGATAAAAAAGTAAAGAAAAAGAAATGTTTAAAAGATATTTACCCAATGATATGAAGTAAGATGGTAACACCAAGGTATAGTTCTGTGTTGGACACCATTTTTAGATTTTACTCTATGGTCGCTTAATGCAAATTATTCTGTCTTTAACCAAAAACAATTATTTATATGCCAATCGGATTAAGGAAGTCCTTGAAGAATCTACCACTTTTTATATAATTTATTGTTGTTAAAAAGTGATGGGTCTTAACTGGGGGAACGTATTCTTCAATAAAATTTACTTTATTGCTTATATTTAAGAGTTTTATAAATCCCAGTGACTCAGGATATTATGCAAACCACCGTTTTTATAGCGAAAAAAATCGTCGCTTTTCATTGGGTAATCGTAAAGTTTATGTAATTTATATATTCTAGACAGCAGTCTATTTATGAAGGTATTTGATTGTTTTCGTTATAAAGGATATTTGCATACTATAAGCTTTTTGTCGTCATAAACAGTTTTGTTATGTTATATGGCCGTATATAAACGGTAATAATTTATTTGCAATATAATATGATGCTACAAGCAAATATCCATGCTCTGGACAAATAATGACAAAGTGTGACCATGACAAGGGAAAGCCCGAACCTGAACTTTGAACATTCGTTTCCCCCGCCAAACTGTTCAAATTTTTTCCTAGGTTCAAAAAATAAATAAACAAAGAGCGAACTCTTACTAATATAAACTTGCCACCTGTATAACCGGCTATATCCAGAAACGCAGGATTGTTGAAATAAAGCGGGGATTTTGCAGTATTAATGCAGAATTGTGCAAATGTATGGCCGAAAAACGGGCAAGTTAACGAATCAATAGAATACATTACATGTTCAGTATATCAAATCGAAAAACACCAGTTAGAATATTAGACTGTTATGACATTATATTTACGACCCCATTGAAACTACTTCGCAAAAAATTAAGTGTTTGCTTACATTCAGAAGTATACGTCAGACTGACGGTCTGGCTGCTGTATTAAGGTCAACTTTTGTTTTCGTCGATATTAATAAAACAAAGACGCAGAAACGGACTCGAGTATTCAATATGCTTAATTATAGCTTCCTACACAATCAAACTAAAATAGATTTGTATATGCTAAACCATGTTAACAACTTTTGTAAAAGATCTCCTAATTGTGTCTTCTTTAGATTTTTATTAAAATCTAACAATTAAGTGACTGAGATGAGTATGTTCTTAGAAGCTTATTTCTATGTTAAGCTGTTGCGGTAATTCTTTTAACAAAACGAAACTGATTTAGCAATCAAGTGAATGTCCTCCTAAAGATCACCCATTGATTAATATCTACAGCGCAGTTGAAGAAATTTTTTTTTAGATCTGGCGGGTGTCTTGTTCAGCATACCGTAAAAGTTTTAGCAAATTTAGTAAAGAACAACAGAATTATCGTTCCTAAAGAGGTTCATCAAAATCTACCAAGTGTTTTTTCAAGCTTATTTCCATCTATAGCTCTGGCAACCATGTTACACAGCAATTTGGGGTCCAGCACACTTTTGATCACAAAGTTCGTTACACAGATGCAATTTTTAACATAAGACAAACGAGCGCACATTGAGGTCATGAATTTAAATAAATGAAATGAATCTTTGTGATATTTTATTGTTATTTATTGTAGTTCATTCCAATGGTAAACTAAAAATAAGATATGAAATAGGTGAAATGTATAAAATCGGATAACAATAGCAGAGGATAGAGCACTAGCATTTAATTTTATGATATCTGAGGGATTCATGTTGAAATAAATAAAACAATATATTCAATTATATGTTTCATAGAATAGAGGCTTGAAAGTGTGATACTAGTATGTAAATATGTTTGATGTGTATCTAGTGTAACAATACATTAGATAACACATTATTTAACCTTTGCAATGAACAAGCGTGTGCGCTAATAATTGTAGCGGTCCAAATCCTTATATCACAGTGACTATTTCTATCGATTAATTATTTACCGTTTGTCCCACTTTCTTATCCAATCAAATGCTCCAATTTATTTAAAAGATATTACATACACTATACCGGGACTGGTGTATGTGGAAAATAAGTTGACTTATTTTAACAGGTATTGACGTGGTATCTGGCAAATATGACGTTATGGATATGGGCGGAGTTTTAAATTAGACAATGAATGTAGCATGCGAATAAAGTAAACAAATAAGAAAGCGATTTCATACGGTTATTTATAAATCCCAGCTTTTACATGTACAAAAATTATTGAAACATTACATTCCCTATACCGTCATGGTTATAATTCAAACATTAGAAAACAGTTTGTGGCTGATAACTGAAAATAATAGACATGGAGCGAGAGAAATCTCAAAGTTCGAAACTAACACATATCTTTAAAAGATCATACAGAATATCCATTTTTCATAATTCCAAGACATTTTTTTTCCACATTTTGATAAAATCTCCACTTTTTTAACAGTTGACTTCGGCCCCTATACCCTCGTTAGTCAACTCGCGCATGCATGGATCCAATATTCGGCGACTTCAGAAAAAAAAGATCTTCAGTTTTAACAAAGTTCACGTGCATGGATTTTTCATTTCGAAGATACCGTTGTAGCCTTGCAGCAATGTTTAATAAAGTTGTTGGAGGATAAAATACACCATTTTTCCTTTCAATTTCACTGATGAATCGTTGTAACCAAAAATCCATTTCTGCACATGAACGGAACTGCTCTATTTGAACGGGAATAGGATAACCAGGCTCTTGCTAAGTCTCCGGTTGTAGGTTGCGGTTTTCAGCCAACTCCCTCCAGACGCGCACTGCCCAGTTGTTTTTCGTTGTATTATAGGACACTGTATTTCTGGTCTTTCTTAATGTCATCAGATGTCAAAAGCTTTTCAAATCGGCCTGCAAAATGCAAATATCAAAGAAACCCCTTAAATATGATTTTCAAAGTTTTTTTTAATAATTGCAACAGCATTATAGGCAGATTAATCATGTTATGTTTGAATAATTAACCTCAATACTTTGAGGTTCGGTGCTGGTTGGGCGAACAAAAGCTGCGCGCTTGTCATGTTACAATTTGTATTTTCATTCAGATAATGATGCAGTTAGATATTGCGACAATTCGAGAATATTTTTTTATTAAATATATTTACCTGAGCTTTTGCCTCTTTTTGCTTGTGTCTGCATATAAAAACCTGCGTATCAATATCAAGCAACCGCGTGACCACATCAGCACATTCGACATGAAATGGTTCAAAAACATGATTCTTGCTATATTCATGTCAAATACCAGCCTGATCGCAGGATTATTACATGATGACTAATGATATAAAAATACATAAAAATGCAATGCTTTAATTGACAGGTCAAAACACTACGACCATGTGTTGGCCTGTCAATCTATACTAGTTAGGGCGGGACTCGTATTACATCAAACGCTGTACCGACACTTCGTACGTGACTTATTCCACGAAAGTGGGTCAAACGGTAAGCCAGTTATAGTTCATATTTTAAAAAATATAGAACTTATTGCTGCGCTCCGCTAATTCCATATTTTTTAAAATCTGAACTATAACTATTACATAGAGGATATTTGTTTGTTTCAGTGTAAGATCGAAAAATAGTTCACCGAGTGAACACCAGATGCAATATTTTCCACGAGTGGCGTAGCCACGAGTGAAAATATAATAGCTGGGGTTCACGAGTGAAATATTATTTGATCTTACATGTAAAACAAACAAATTTTCTGTTTATTTCATGATTTTTTAACGATTTTTACACCATTTTACTGTTTTTTGCCGTGTAACGTCATGCTCTTATCTTCATGACGTCATCAAATAATGACGTCACAATGTTGAAGCAAAATATAATTCCATGATTATTTTTAGATTTTAGATGTTTTTCAGCACAACGTTCGTAAATATTTACGAACTACAGTTATCACGTACATTTTTTATTATGATTGACTACATTTCCGCTGAAAAAAACATTCCTTAATGATAAATATTTTATTTTTGCGCCAAATATAGTTCGGCTACTGTGAAATTATATTTTGTAATCATTACTGTGAAATTAGATATATCAGAATATAATTAACCGGTATAATTCAGTAATCTACTGCAAAACATGTAATAAAGATATTTCTTCGTAAAATAATTGAGAAAATTCTGGCATTAAAAGTAATTAATAGGGTGCAACATGCATCCATCACGGTAAAAAATGAACATTTAAGATAGCTCCAAGATGAATGCTAAATTATAAAAATTCATCACACCGATCAAGATTCACGTCCATTTATGGCAGGAATAATTATTTTTATTGTAATTTTTGGAAAATATGTCATCTATTTTCTTAGAGATATAGTTTGAAAACCTTACAATAATTCTAAATAACATGTTAGATGTCATTGATTCATCAAATAAAATCTTTAGTGCTTACATTAACGTTTATGTCAAATTTCAATCATTAAAGTGGCAACAAATTAAATAAGTAATTGCGATATACAAATGTTTATTTAAGAATACTTAAAATATATTAATAGTAGCAATAACGTTCGTGGAATAACAAGATTAATACCGGACAACGTTAAAATCATTAAAATTAAAAAGAAAAAACAAACACGACAGGTTTATTTTCCGAGAGGCTACCAAACCACATTTACCTTAATGCATAAATTTATTTACTGACCGAGTAATCATGCTGCTCTTTCTGTGTCTACAGATGTTAATTGCTTTACAAACTATATTTTCTTCTCGAATATTAGCGATTTTGT